ATATATATATATATTTGTTTTCTTAAGTTTTCGCAGGTACTTACATGTATGGTATTCAGCTTTGTTCAGGTATTTTCTCACGTCATTATAGTTGTGCTTTTAAAGTTGTAGTAATGTTTCGGCAGAATCTCATCTGCCATCATCAGGCTTCTGTATAGTGTTCGTCTGTGAGTCAGACTTTCACAGCCGTTTCTGTTTTAAATTTGGTGCTAGCCTACCAGTACACAGAACACAGCAAACTCCAAGACCAATAAACACAGACCAAGACTCCCAACCAATCAGGATGAAGAAAAAACCATTCTGGCACAGCAGTAGGCTAGCCCCAAATTTAAAACTGAAACTGTTGTGAAAGTCTGACTCACAGACGAACACAATACAGAAGCCTGATGATGGCAGATGAGATTCTGCCGAAACGTTGTTACAATTTTAAAAGCACAACTATAATGACGTGGGAAAATACCTGAACAAAGCTGAATACCATACATAGAAATACCTACGAAAACTTAAGAAATATATATATATATATATATATACACATACACATACACATATACATATACATACACACTATCTCTCTCTCTCTCTCTCTCTCTCTCTCTCTCTCTATCTATCTATCTATCTATCTATCTATCTATCTACATACATACATACATACATACATACATACATACACAAACTATATATAGTTTGGCTGTAGACAATTCTGTTTAACGAAAAGTGGGAGGGGTTTCCTCCAAAATATTAGGAATGCATCTGGTTATAAAACCTAATAAAGAGTTTTCCTTGTGGAAATCTCTTAAAATATGATAACCCCATGATAATAGGGAGCTTGTGAGATTTTGGGCTAGTGGTTAAGACATCAGACTAGAAAGCAGGAGAAAACATATTCCTTCTTATCTGCACTATTCATTTATATTGATTTTGTGCTAGATTTCAGTTTTAGGACTTATTGCAAGTAGGCACCAGGCAAAAAACAGGAGACTGTGAGTTCAAGTCCTGCCTTAGTCATGAAAATCAGATGAGTGACTTTGGGCCAATCATCAATCCCCACCTCACAGGCTTGTTGTTATGGGTAAAATAGGAGGAAGAAAGTATGTTGGATATATTTGTCAACTTGAGCTATTTTTTAAAATAATAAAGGTGGAGTACAAATAAAGAAAAAGTAAATTTTGATGCATTCTCCTTTGAGCCAATTTATATTTTATATTGTTTTTAATATCTTAACTTAATAACGTAATTTAAGATTAATTTTTTTATAGTATGGCATCTTGAATTATGTCAATGGTATAAATTGGATTTATAAATAACTAAAGGCAGACTGTTTTTTATTCTAATTACAGATTACCCGAGTTGCCAGAAATTTCCAATTCAAACAAGTAAGCATATATCTTCTATTTTTTCTTCCCATGTAGATCATTCTCTTAAATTCTACTCATGGGTACCACCTGAATCTTGGCAGGTGGAGCTGTAATCTGGGGTTTTTGAACTGGTCTCAGCTCTTCACAGCTACTTTAAATATAAGCTGCACAGGAAGCTAATTTCTCAGATGAACAAGAGGAATCTATAGCCATCAAATGTCATTGAACCCTATCTTCCAGCAGCTGCTTTCATTATGGCCAGTGGTGAATGTGTAGATCAGCAACATCTGGAAATTGACATGTTCCTTGTACCTGCTTTAAAAGTGAACAATATCTGTTGGTAGTACTAAAAACTGAATCTGTGTGAAGAGAATGTGTGAGATCTGTTTTTTTTTTTTTTTAATAAAAAGCAATGTATTTATGGTTGGACTTAAACTGTCAAAAATAATATAACATTGATGAAATATACTGCCATGTTAAAAAAAATAGGAGGAGATTTATTCAGCTATTGCAAGGTAAACAATACTGGGCTCATAATCTATAGCATAATTAATAGGAATTGAAAATCCTGCTTGTCTACTCTTGATTCTTACTTTATATACTATGAGTAATGAATGAGGTTACTAATCAGTGGGTAAACAAGGGAGGGACTATAGCAAGGAGTTCAGCTTTTACTTTTTGCTTACAGAAACCAGTAACAATGCTTTCCAAATAAGAAGTGTATATATTGACCTGTGAAGGACTCAAGAACATCCTATAAAATGGTGTCAATCTTTTGCTATTCATAGCCAAAGCAAGGTTGATCATATGGTTTTAGAATGATGATAAAGCAGAAGAAGCAGAAGGAAGAAGAAAAGAAGAGGAAGAGGAAGAAGAAGGGGAAGAAGAAGAAGAAGAGGAGGAGGAGGAGGAGGAGGAGGAGGAGGAGGAGGAGGA